GCCATACCTGCAAGTTATAACTTACACTTTTTATTAACAAAATGAAAACCTGGGAGATACAGTTTTTCACCAGTGTTATTTAGAATGTTATAATTTAATGTGACTAGGAATATTATAATCCACTTTTTGTACTATGAAAATACCAGTTGGGTCATCAAATATGTTGTTTGCTGGGTTTGGTACACAAAGGCCTTTGAGAGCTCAGGGTGTTGTGGGGAAATACATTGTGGTTAGACAGAATCTTTAAGGAAGAGTGGGTGATTAAAACTGCCTGATTAAAACCTACCAAAAGGCATCTTAAAAATTGACCTGGTTTGCTAGACATATTAAAGAATTAGTAGTAAAGTTAAAAGGTGGCTAGGAAGGGGCAGTTAACATAAATGCACATGGAAGAAAATTGGTACCAAAGGTTCATGTGAGACAGAAAGGACATTGTGTGAGAAAAGAATGATCAGGGCTCAGGCTGGCATGTTACTATTTGTCTGTTGTTATAATGCCCAAACTGTGCTTTAGATGATGCAGTATAGGAAGTAATGTGCCTCTGATGTTTTAGAACCGTATCTTTTTATAGAAGTGTCGGGAAGATGTTGATTTGCATTTAATTCTCTGGCAATATTTTCTTGTTTTATTTTTACAATTTTGGTGAAAGGCAGTACATTCACATGGCTCAAAAATACGTATGTTTATGTATGTATATACACCTACAAGCATGCATATACACAAACATACATTGGAACCTCTCCCCACTCTGTCTGCACCTCACGTAACTACTGTTCATGATGTATGTGTGTCTTTATGCATATATTAGTGAGTAATTACAGATCTTTTTACCTGTCCTTTTTTAATACAGGAAGTAGCATGTTTTAGACCTTTCCATATCAATTCATAGGGTGCCTTCATCATATGCTAAATTGTCCTATGAATTTTTTGTTGGGACTTTTTCTGTTTTGGTTTTTACTTTTCTTTGTGTTCTTCTGTGTTTTTCCTTTTTCAGGTAAAATTTTCACATGGTGAAGTGCACAAATTATATATTCGATTTACTTAGATTCAGCAAATGCATATACCAGTGTTTTAAGATAAAGAACGTTTCAATCATCCAGAAAGTTCTTTCATACTCTTTCCTAGTGGTTCTTCTGGAAACAACCACTGTTTGAAATTTTTCACTTTGAATTTGTTTTGCCACTTCTAGAACTTCATGTAAGTGGAATCATTCAGTGTAGATACTTTACTGTTCAGCTTCTTTTGATCACTATATTCCCAAGATTCATCCATGGGTCAGTAATTCTTTTTCAAGATTGTTTTGCTACTCAGGATCCTTAGTATTTCCATATGCATTTTAGATCAGCTTGTCAGTTGCTACAAAAATATTTTTGCTGAAATGGTGACTGTAATAGATATAAAACAAATCGGCAACAATTCATTAGGGAATGAGGGCAGATGGACATCTTAATATTGACTCATCTGTGAATATGCTGTATCTCTATATACTTAGCTTTTAAAAAGTATCTTTGAGCAAAGTTGAGTTTGGGCAGAGTTCACAGTCACATTTTGATGTTTTTCCCTTGTGCCTCTTTCTTTACAGGGTATCTTCCTTCTTTTTTCAAACTCTCTGGCAGCCCCAAATGTGTCCTCTGATTCTAGGTCAGTAAAACTGCAGTTTTCTAAAAACAAACCCCCTGCAGTGTTCTGTTTGAATTCTAGTTGCCCTGCCTAGCTGTGACTGGGGAGTGCCCTTGGGTACACAGCTACAGAAATGCAGCTCTCATCCAGTACAGTTTGCAGCTTTAACGGGTGGACCTCTCTACAGCTTTTGTCTGTTTTTGATCTGTCTCCACTGTTTTCAAATAGTTGATTATTATATTTTGTTCAGAGTTTATCATTGTTATCTGAAGGAAAGTTAGCCTAATTGAGGCTGCTCTGCCATTACTGGAAGTAGAACCTCCATTCTGTTTTGTGTATTCTTTTACTAATTGCATACTGTTTTAATTATTGAGAATTTGTAATGTGCTTCAGAATCTGGTAGGACAAGTCTTTTCTTTGTTAGAATTTTTCTGGTCATACTTATTTATTTTGGCTTATTATAGTATTTGGACTAATACCTGGATTTTTAAAGCATTTATTTTTATTGAGATTGCATCAAATATATAAATTTGGTAGAATTAATACCTCTATGATGGTATCTTCCTGTGTAGGGTCATATGTTTTTCTTTTTGCTCAGTGCACTTTTGTGTTCTTTAGTTATGTTTAAAATGTTTCTTTGTGTAGTTTGACAATTATAATTACATTTATCTAGATGCTGCTTTATACAACTCTCACTATCTAAGGGGGATTGGTTCTAGGATTTTTCACTCATACCAGAATTAGTGGATGCTCAAGTCTCTGGTATAAAAATAGCATTGTAAGGCTGGGCATGTTGACTCACTTCTGTAATCCCACACTTTGAGAGGCTGAGGTGGAAGGATCACTTGAGTCCAGGACTTCAAGACCATCCCTGGTATCACAGTGAGACTTTGTCTCTACAAAAAGTGTTAAGATTAGCCAACTGTGGTGACACACGCCTAAGTCCCAGCTACTCAGGAGGCTGAGGCGGGAGAACTACTTGAGGCTGGGAGGTCAAGGCTGCAGTAAGCCTTATTTTAAAAATAAAATGGCATTGTATTTGCGTATAACCTACACGTATTTTCTCATACTTTAAATCAGCTGTTCCCAACTGTTTTGGCACCAGAAGCCAGATTCATGAAAGACAATTTTTCCACCGTGGCGGTGTGGCAGTGGTTTTGGGATAAAGCCATTCCATCTCAGATCAGCAGGCATTAGTTAGATTCTCTTAAGGAGTGCCCAACCTAAAGCCCTCGCATGTGTATTTCACAATAGGGTTCTCATTCCTATGAGAATCTAATGCCACTACTGATCTTCCAGGAGGCAGAGCTCAGGTGGTAACGGTCTCTCCTTTGCTGCTCACTTCCTGCTGTGCATCCTGGTTCCTAACAGGCCGTGAACCGGTATCAGTCTGTGGCCTCTGAGACTCCTGCTTTAAGTCATCTCTATATTATGCATAATATGTAATACAATATAAATGCTGTATAAATAGTTGTTGTACCATATAGTTTTTAAATTTTGTATTTTTCAATTGTATTTTTTTTTAGTTTTTAAAATTTATTTTTGTTACTTTTTGATCCGCAGTTGGTTGAATCCAAGGATGTGGAACCCTTGGATACAGAGGGCTCTATGTTTTATTATAAATTGGTTTATTTTAAAAAATATTTTTTATTATGTAAACAGGTAATGATTTTACTAGCTAGATGCAAATTTGATATTTTAAAATAAACCTTTTTTTTTGTTAGGCATGATAATGATGGAACTGAGGCTTAAATATATCCTATGGCAGCAGTTGGAAAGTGACCAAATTAGGGTTGGGGTCTAGATCTGCCTGCCTCTAGATTGATTGCAAGTTCTTAACAATTACTGTTTATTCTTCTCTGATTCCTTTCAAGGATTAAATAAAGTACAAATTAAACTTCATGCTCTATTTTAGATTCTGGTTCTCATGTCAGTCCCAGAATAACTGGAGTGAAATGTTCTGATAGCAGAGCAGAATAGCCTCTTGCACTACACTTTTGTTAATTATTTTCAAAGAAGAGTCTGCTGTATACCATTTCTTTCATAAACTGAGACTTGCAAGTCTGTAGAATTTAGGTGATTCTATTGTGATTTAAACTACATTGTGCTATATGTTTCCAATAGATATTTGACAAATATCTTTTAAATAAACCATTAATGTCATGGTTTTTAAATCAGTATATCATTGGAAAAAAGGAAAAGGTCTAAGCCTTAATTTACCTGGCTTTTTCTGACTTTTATAGTCTGGTAAATTTTGCAGCCTGAAAAAGCAAGAGAATCTGTAAAATACTTCAATGAGGTGCTGGAAAATTTCTGAACAGGTTTTATTGTGAACTGTCCAGTCACTGTAGCCCCCAAAGCAGGGCATGACGTGTTCCTGCAGCCTGATAGCTATGTGACAGCACCTGTAGCACTAAAGCCAAGGATACCAGGTGGTTCTGTTGCCTGGCCACAGGAAGCCAGCATTTCTCACCATTGCCCTTTGAACTGTTGATCCAGTTAAGCTCACTAACAATGTGTAAATTTGAAATTTAATCAATTGCTTGGTTTATCTTCAAAAGATGTTTTGAAATACTTCTTTCTCCGCATTGAGGTTTTGATGATTTTGTAATATGTGAGAAATGGACTTTTCAGAAAAGTACAACTTAGTACTTGAGACACTGGCTGTCAAAGTTCCATTCCAGAACTTCCTTTTAAATTCTCTTTCCCTTCTCCCACTGACCAGAAGTTACTTCGAAATGAAGTAGAGGTAGGGAAAAAGGGAGAATTAACTCTGAGCTGTCCATATTCTCGAGGGAAATGTGGGAGAAAAATTTTAAGGTGGTATACTAAATTAGAATGACTTCAAAGTCTATTTCTTTGTTTATTCTAGAGATAAGAGAGCAACATAATTTTCAGTAAAACTTAAAAGTATCATGACCAAATAACCTGAAAATCTTAACTGTGAATGTATGTCTATTTTTATGGGGATTTTTTTCTATATTAAAATCAGATGACATCTGTTTTTAGATATTTTTTTTAAAAATTGGATTATGAAATGAAGCACTGTTAGTAAAGCTGATGGCAGAGGTTTTAGATCTTTTGAATAGAGGAAAGTGGTAAGGGCATTATAGGTATGATTCATTGAGCTAGAGGGCATTGGTGTTCACATTTTAGAAACATAATCATGACTTATCTGGAGTCACATGTTCCATTTTATTGGCTTCCTTCATATAGAAAATATAGTAACCAGCACTACATGCCTGTGAAAAAGTGAAGCAATTGTATATTTTCTGGGTGAAGGAAGTATTCTGTACATTCTCCATGTTTTACATCATGGTATTTTGAATAACCATGCTTCCATGTTCACATCAATTTTTTGTTTTTCAATTTATGCACAGCACTTGCTCTGAAATTTGGGGACTGAGTACACCAAATACGATAGATCAGTGGGATACAACAGGCCTTTACAGCTTCTCTGAACAAACCAGGTGAATATTCTGCCCTCTGTTGAATCCTAGAGATCTTGTGGGAGGGGGGTATATTTTGAAAGACCTATATGGGGTTGCTTAGTGTAATTTTGCCTAGGATGTTTCCTTAATGTAAAATAAGGCATAGCATTTAAAATATCTGCTTGCCAGTATAAAAAAATATATTAAATGTTTCAGCTGATGTTTTAATCAATGCAATTCTAGTTTGAATCTTCTTTAAATTGCTGTATCCCCTAAAGAATAAGAATTTTGATAACTATATATATATTTTAGCTTGAGATCAGATTATAATCTGTTGTTGGCCTAATTTTTAAGTAGATACATGATCAGTTTTGCTAAATTTCTTGTTACCAAAATCTCATCTTTATACTAATAAATACATATTTAATGAACCCCTTTTATTACAATTAACAGTAGGTTAACTCATTTTTATGTTACTTTTTAAAATCACTTCATTCTCTTTTTTGCGTATATGGTATTTGTTCATTTCATCTCATCATATTCATCACCATCCACATTTATTTGTGAACTACATATATATACCTCAGTTCTCAAAACAGTCACAACTGGGTAATGAGTTGTAGTAGTCTGAGGAAGTTACTATCACATCATTGTTGGTATTTATCATTCTTCACACTAGTTCCTTTTTTGACTATTCAGTCACCTCCAGAATTAATACCCTTAGAAGCATCTCCAAAATGAGTTTGATTTTCTAAACATAGAAGTTAACGAAGTTTTTCAAGTGTAACTGCATAAACTCTATTTTTTTAAAAAATCAGTTTTTCCCAAGTAGTTAGCCTTTCATTGGCATTTGAGTCATTTATGTGACGTATTTATGACAAACATCTGCTAGTGCTGCTGCATACTTTTATCAGATCCATTAAATAGTACATTTTTCTTCTTGATTCTCACTAAAACTAACTAAATGGCTGTCATTCTTTTCTTTATGCTTTTGCTGTACTAATTTAGCCCATTCGACTACACTTTTTTTTTTTTTTTAAAGTTCCCTCCTTTGTTTTCCCCTTGCTTCCCGATAGGTCTCTTGATGGTCGTCTCCAGGTATCCCATCGAAAAGGATTGCCACATGTTATATATTGCCGATTATGGCGCTGGCCTGACCTTCACAGTCATCATGAACTCAAGGCAATTGAAAACTGCGAATATGCTTTTAATCTTAAAAAGGATGAAGTATGTGTAAACCCTTACCACTATCAGAGAGTTGAGACACCAGGTAGGAACAATGCAAGTTTTTTTCTTGGTTTTGAGTTAAATGCCTGAACTTAAGTATATTTAAGTAATCTTGTGACCCAGGAAAATTTTAGTGTAAATTCTAATAAATTACCTTAAATTGTGCATATTATTTGGTGGTAATTAAAATTTTTTTTATTTTTAAAAATTTTTAATGGGAAAACGTATCTTGGAAAGATGTGTCTGTTTCTTGGAGTAGCATGTGATTTGGCATGAAAGTGCATATCCAGGAAATCCTGTAGATTGGCAGTCTGCTTAGAGCTGTGCTGATGTGCTTCTACATGTCCCTGCTGCAGTAACTTATTTTCAAGCATTTTGCACTTGGAGTGCTTTTAGAAGTACTTTAATGACATCATTTGTATATACGCTGTTTAGTAAAGCTTGTAATAAGACTTCATTTAGTTAGCTGTCTACCTGAAACTATTAAAAAATATAGCAGTAGCTGTATTTTTGGAAATTTTTCTATATCTGATTGTACAGATAAAGACAATGTTAACTTTTCCAATGGGGATTTATGAACTTTTATGGTAATATATTACCAGGATCACATTGTTTCCAAAAGTTTGAGATAAATTAGAACTTGGAAATTTGGATAATAGACTACATAAGTTAAAGCCGTAATCAGATTTGTCAGACCCTAACTTTAAAAATTAAGCTGCAACTTCTCTTCTTCTTGTTGAAACTTTAAAAAAGGTTCCCCCACTCCCCTTTGCTCTTTGCCATAACTAGGCTTTCTTGAACTTTTTCAGTTTTGCCTCCAGTATTAGTGCCCCGACACACTGAGATCCTAACAGAACTTCCGCCTCTGGATGACTATACTCACTCCATTCCAGAAAACACTAACTTCCCAGCAGGAATTGAGCCACAGAGTAATTATATTCCAGGTATGTTTGACTTCTGAATCTTCTAAAACTTGGATAGATACAAATGTTGTTCATAAGCATTGAAGTATTAGTGAATTGTGGTTTCACTTTTTTAAAAATGCTTTTGAGTTTTTAATAGAAAAATCGGATTTGTTGGGTGATTATTTTGTGAAATGTATAAGCCTAGTACATTAAACTTGTTTGGAGAAGAGTTTTACTTTATATTTCATTTTCTTTTGCAGTGACTTTAATCAAAGTACTGTGAGAAGCAGAAAAGATCTTAGTAAGTTTATCTTAGTTGTTGAAGCTAAGCGAGATGCAGAATGTAAGCAAAACAAATGATGTAGGAAAAAAGTACCCCTGAAACACATGTAACTGAAAATCCACCCAGTGATCACTTTTTCTTAGGTAACTTGGTAATATTTAACAGAAATGTAACATTTCTATAAGAAATATAATACTTAGTTCTGTAGACGTAGCAGCACTTACATATTATACTGAACATCAGAAAACCTCTTTTCATTATGTTTCGTCTGCATCTTAGTGATTCCTGATGAAAAATGAATTCAGCTACATGGTTCTCAAATTTTGTTCTGATGTATTGTGTGATCCAGTAATACTCCACGATACGATATCTGGCCTTTCCGTTTTTTATGGTTTTTTTTTGGGAGAACGACTAATATTTTGTTACTTTTCTTGTATGTTTTCCTTTTTGTTTTGTTTGATTGATTTTTCTCCCTAGCAGAAACAGCATGATGTTAGGATGAGGATTAGATTAAGCTATCGTGTCTTGATTTCTTTCTTCCTTTTGTAATATTCTTCTATTCCACTCTTATTTTATACACTAAAAATATGTAAGGAACTTAAGAGCATTTACAAAATTTTTAAAATACAGTTTTAATACATTTAAACAATTATTTCTTTCATGTATCCATCATGGAAATAATGCTTATGCATTGAAGATAATTTTTTTTTTTTTTTTTTTTTTTTTTTTTTTGAGACGGAGTCTCGCTCTGTTGCCCAGGCTGGAGTGCAGTGGCCGGATCTCAGCTCACTGCAAGCTCCGCCTCCCGGGTTCATGCCATTCTCCTGCCTCAGCCTCCTGAGTAGCTGGGACTACAGGCGCCCACCACCTCACCCGGCTCGTTTTTTGTATTTTTTTAGTAGAGACGGGGTTTCACTATGTTAGCCAGGATGGTCTTGATCTCCTGACCTCGTGATCCGCCCGTCTCGGCCTCCCAAAGTGCTGGGATTACAGGCTTGAGCCACCGCGCCCGGCCGCATTGAAGATAATTTTTAAAATGTAAGGAAGAAAAAAAGAAAGATAAGAAAAGATAACTAAGAAAGATAAGTTTTTTTTTTTTAATAGCTAGTTTTACAGATGGGAAGTGGTTTTTGATTGTTTTAGTTTGATTACTGTTTTATTCCAGAAGAGGATTTAAAGCTGCTTTTTGGGTTGCTAGGAAATACAAACTTACTGAAGTTAAGAGAGGGAGAAGGTGGGGTATAGTGTGATATACTAGGATGAGGGAAAACGTGGGACTATGAAACAGGGCAGTTGCCAGGTAGGAAAGGGAGTGGAGTTTAGTGAACGTTGGTGTGGGGAAAGGGAGGCATTTTAAGTCGTTAGTGTGGAGATTACCGTTTTTCAGCCAACAGTACTAACCTTAGGTATAAGCATGCAGTCTTACAGCATGCATATCCAGTAATTATTTGGAAGGATATTCACCAAAATGTTTAGTGGCTTTCACTCGTGAAGATGTTTGGGCTCATTTTTCCTGTCTTTTTTATTCTTTTAATTATTTAGATTTGAGTATTTTATAAAGTAGAAAATCAGAAGTGGATTATACCCATTTGCTTTTCTGGACAGTGGGGCTTTATCCAGTTTCAAGCAACAGCAAAACCAAAGGATTCATGTTTTATTCCACTTAAAATACATTTTAACGTTTTCTCAAAAATGCTAATAGCTTTATTATTTATTACAATGGAAAAAGTGCAGTAAGATAACGTATTTTAAGGTTCAGCATTTCTTTCTGATTAGATCTTTGAGATACTGGTTAAACTCAAAAAGCTTAGCACCATTTAACTTTATTAGCTTTAACTTTTAAAATATACGTAATGATATATACACTTATTTTTATGTTCTTTATTGTTTGCATATATGAAGCTAGTTTATTCTTAGAATTTTTGTATTAAAAATTTTGGGGTACTGACACTTAAATGAAAAGTTTGATACTTAAAGTTTGTGGTTAGCTTATTGAATAGATATTGTAAAAGGTTATTGAAGGAGACCCTTAACCTGTATCTTCCCTCTCTCCTTTTTTTTTTGTTTTTTGTTTTTTGTTTTTTGTTTTTTGTTTTTTGTTTTTTGTTTTTTGAGATGGAGTTTCGCTCCTTGCCCAGGCCAGAGTACAATGGTGTGATCTCAGCTCAACACAGCCTCCACCTCCTGGGTTCAATGATTCTCCTGCCTCAGCCTCCCTAGTAACTGGGATTACAGGCATGCGCCACCACACCCGGCTAATAGTGTATTTTCTTTTTTTTTTTTTTTTTAGTAGAGACGGGTTTCTCCATGTTGGTCAGGCTGGTCTCGAACTCCCGACCTCAGGTGATCCGCCTACTTCGGCCTCCCAAAGTGCTGGGATTACAGGTGTGAACCATGGTGCCTGGCCTCTGTCTTTTGATAATTTTAAAATTCTGTTTGGATATGTGTCTGTGTTATCTTGAGTTGCTCAGAAGTGTTCAGCAGTGTAAATGTTGAACTGATGAAACTCTTTTGAACTTATTTTTCCTCCTTGGAATTACAGTTGATGTAATTGTATACATGTTTTTATTTTACATGCAGTGTTTTCAGCTATTCAGATGCCTTTCTGAATATAAATGTTTTATTCAGACAACATGGTGGAAATAACATGTTAGAATCCTAAAGTTTATTTTCGGGGAGCATTTTACCTCTTTATACAGTAGTCTATATTTGAATTGAATTTTTTGCTTCAAACACTTAGACTTTACCAGTTGGGAATCCTTGGAGAAATATACTTTTTAGGTAGAATTCAGTCTGGACCAATCTGGAACCATACTACCATATTTTACCCTATAGAACTTAGTATAAGTTGTAAGCTGTATTATTTAATACTTTTATAATCCAAAATCTTGTGTGTGTTTTTTATTTTCTAAGTACTCATAAAATAACGATGTTCATTAGATTAAACAACAACAACAAAAAATTGTAGTTATTAGTGGTTTTGCAGCCTACTGATTCAGATCTGGGGCATTTTTGAAGTTACATTTTTGGCTCTTGTCACAGAATATGTACATACAGGAATGAGCGAGATATGTAAATAATGTATATGTCCAGAGAGTAGGATTTTATTAAAAGTAGATGTTAAGGATTCACTGCAAAATTTGGACAAGATCCTGAATTATACACCGTCAGTATGCAATATTACTTTCTGTAATAATGTTATATAATGTTGTTATTTGTTATTTGGAGTGATTCATTGGTAGCTGGGAGAAAAGGTAGTGAGATTATGTTGCAGCTGTGCTTCATTTATTTTACACTTTTGTAGAAACGCCACCTCCTGGATACATCAGTGAAGATGGAGAAACAAGTGACCAACAGTTGAATCAAAGTATGGACACAGGTAAAAAAAAGTCTTTGAAAATTCCTCAGTTATTAGATACACATTTCTTGTTTTGTTTAAAACTCAAAAAAGATGTTACTCTTAGAGAAGTTGAGAAACATACCAAAAAAGATGATCTTCTATCTTGATTTAACATACCTGAACTACCAAAGGGGTCCATGTTGTCCCTGAAAAATTAACGTATGGTACTCTGCAGAATAATTATTTTTTAATTAGAGTAAATGAAAATTTGAAAACATGCACATGCTTTTATTTCTTTTTAAATATTTGCTTCTGTTGAAAGTTTTAGTTAACCCTATGACTAAGTATCTCTCCATGATACAAGACCATAATTACTCAAATAAGAGATTTTCAGAGGAATTTGGGGGTGAAGGATGAGGAACAGCTTTTCACTGCTTTTTTTAACCTAATAGTGAGTTTTGAATTATAGTAGATTAATTTCTTATACTTAACTATCAACTCCAAACAGTGATGAAGAAAACAATTAAAGCTTTAAATCATGTCTTATGTAATAAAATGTATAACTCAGCAGAACTAATAAATTATCAGTGAAATCACTTTGATGTCATTGTAATTGTCCAGTTTGATTCATTTCACTCTATCTGTATCTTAACTATTGGACACCTTAATATTACAGCCTGATAGATTATACCATCATCTTTGTCCACATCTCAACACTAATGCATTCTTGGTTATGATAATCTAAATTAATTTTTAAATGGATTAACGTTGGTGGGGGAAGGAGGGGTTACAATAATTCTGTTGTTTAAATCTGTTTTTTAGACTCCCAGGTAAAGAAGTTTCTGCTGTAGCTAATCATACATTTGGGTCTTTACGAGTACCAGATAACTAAGAAAGGTAGATAATCTAATGAACATTGGAAATGACATGTTATACATCTTAATGCAAATATCTTAATGCACATGATATTTGACTTTCCACATATGTTTGCTGAAATTAGATGTCAACTTTCTTCTTGAAGCAGTAATATTCTTTTTTGCCTGTGATGGACAGCTGTTACTGTGACATTTAAAAGTGAATGATAAGAAAAGATACTGAATGTCATAAGCCACAATGAGATGCTACCTCACACCTACTAGATGGCTGTAATCAAAAAAAGGACAATAACAAATGTTGGTGAGGATGTGGAGAAATTGAAGTCCTCATGTATTGCTGGTAGGAATGTTAAATGGTTCAGCACTTTGGAAAAGTTTGCTGTTCCTCAAAAAGTTAAATATAGAGTTAACATATTGTGGCCAGCTATGTACCCAAGTGAATTGAAAACATGTCTACTCAAAAACTTGTACATGACTGTTTATGCAGGCGTTATTCTTAATATTCAAAGTTAGAAACAACTCAGATGTCCATCAAATGATGAATGGATAAATAACATGAGATATGTTTCTGCAGTAGAATTATTCAGCCATGAATAATTCATGCTTCATGAATTAGCCATGAATAATTCAGTACTTCATGCTGTACTTCATGATAGTACAGCATGAAGTGTGGTACATGATAGTACAGCATGAACTACTGTGGTACATGTGGTACATGATAGTACATGATAGTACATGATAGTACATGATAGTACAGCATGAAGTGTGGCAACATGGATGGACCTTGAAAGCAGTATGTTAAGTGAAAGAAGCCAGGAAAAAAAGGCTGCAGGGATTCTAATTAGTGCACAGACACCTATTCAACAATATAACTGAAACCACAAATATGAGTATTGGTTATGTATGATAAATGAATCAAAGTCAAAAATGGAGAACAAACTGAATCAGTCAGCTAAAATAATTGCAGTGTTGGGGCTAACTTTGAACCCAACCTAATATTTCTGTTTCAGTGGAGCAATGTTACTGGCTTTCTGAATGACATGTTTAAAATTACTGTATGACAATGGGAATATGTGATTCATGAGATGCCAACAGTTGGTTTGGCTGCCAGCCTCTTAACCAATATCAGTTTCTCTCTCGGGGCCATGACAGGAAACACAATTCTGACTGATGCAGGGCTCCAATTTAGAACAAAGTTGGCCACCTCTCTAACTCTGGTTCATACCTTCCAGAGGGAAGGACATAATTAAATTCATCTTCCATAACCTGCTGGGAAAAAAAATGAATTGAAAAAATTTTAAAGGGGCAACCAGAGGATAAATTAGGCATAATAAGTAATTATATGGACAAGCACTTGTTACTTTTTTCTTTTTTTTAAATTGAGATTTCTCTGATCAAGACTTTATTCTTCCTTTATAGTCTTGTGGACATTAGAGATCAGGCTGGACGTCGTAAGAAATTTAGAAGTTTGATTAACCTCTGTAATACTGTATAATCAGTCCCTTTTCAAGTCATGATTTTTATGAACATATTTATTCTAACAGGTATATAGAGAAATAGAACATAATAGATCGTAAGATGTGGATTTCATAACTCACAATTCAGTTTTGTATCTTCTACATACACTGTGCTTGGTCCAAGATATACAAAGAGACTTAAAGGGTTTTTTAATCTGCCTGTGTCCCAGAAGATAAAATGAGGTCCTGACCTCCCATGCCTCAGAATATGGCCTTGTTTGGAAGTAGCATCTTTGTAAAGGTAATTGTTTAAGATGAAGTCATACTGAAATGCGATGGGCCCTAATTCTATATGACTGGTGTCTTTAAGAGATAGGGAGGAATGTGCCATATGAAGATGGAGGCAGGTAACTGGAGTTAGCACTTGCAAGCTGAGCAATTCCTAGGATAGTTGGGAAACCCAAAAGCTTAAGAGAAAGGCATGGAACAGATTCTCCCCTTGAGCCTTTGAGAGAGCATGGCTTTGCCGACACCTTGACTTGGGACTTAGGTCTTCCAAAGCTCTGAGAAAATAAATTTCTGTTGTTTTAAACCACCCAGTTTGTGGTGTTTTGTTAGAGCAAGCCCTAGGAAGCTGATACAGTGAGTATTAAGATTTTGAGAGTATCCTACTAGTATGTATATTTAATTATTTGTAAGTTATATACAGGCACTTCCTGTACATTTTAAAATATATACAAAAATTAGAAATTGAAAGATGAGATTAAATAGAAAATACGTTTTAATTTTTTCTTTTTGTAAACTAGTAGTTTTGTGTACTCCTAGACAGTGTTCACATACACTCCACTTACAAGACTGCTTTTCTTAACCAAATGCATATAATCAAAATAGCATAGTGAGACTCTGAGCTTGACTACTTGAGTTTGAAATGTTCCTCTTCCATATACTAGCTAGGTAGCCTAGTTTTTAAATCTGTAAAATAGGGACAATAATAGCATTTAACTCATAGAGTATTAACAGGTCTTATATTTATAAGGCATCTATGTGTTCCTAACCTGTAATAAGCACTGTATGAATGTAGTTAAAGAAAATGTTAGGAGGAGTTAACCATTAAGAAAAAGGAAGATAGTGGATTGCACAAAAATTTGAAGGAAAGTGAAGACTTGAGATCCAGACACAGAAGCACTTGACCTTTGTTGTTTAGGATCATCTCTATAAAATAGGAAAGTAAGATTTTTGTCAAAAATGAGGAGTCAGGTTTGACAACTTCAGGATAAAAGTCTTAATAACAATGCCTTTTCTCTGCCATGTGTTAAACAGTTTTTTATGTAGATGTATATAGCATGTCTTTCATTAGATGAATTTTTTAGTATTTTATACTTTCAGTGCTGTTATACACATTTTTGTTACATTTTATTTTCCAGTTGTTCCTAGGATATGGGAAGTACTTGATTTTTGCATATTAATCTTTTCTCCTGTATTCTTGTTAAATTGACTTTTTGGTTCTAGAATTCTGTAGATTCTTGAGGTTTTCTGCATACACAACCATGTCATCTGTTGATAAGGACCGTTTTTCTTTTTTCTTTTTTTTTTTTTTTTGAGACGGAGTTTCACTCTTGTTGCCCAGGCTGGAGTGCAGTGGCACGATCTCGGTTCATTGTAACCTCCGCCTCCCAGGTTCAAGCGATCCTCCTGAGTAGCTGGGATTACAGGCATGCACCCCCTCCCCCAGCTAATTTTTTGTATTTTTAGTAGAGATGGAGTTTCTCCATGTTGGTCAGGCTGATTGCAAACTCCCAAACTCGGGTGATCCACCCGCCTCGGCCTCTCAAAGTGCTGGGATTACAGGCATGAGCCACGGTGCCCGACTGACAGTTTTTCTTTTTTTCCCCCGTCTTTATGCTTTTTTCTTTTTCTGTCCTAAGACCTACAGTAAACTGTTGAATTTATAAGAATGGACATTTTTGCATTGTTCTGATTATAGGAAGAATACATTTCGCAATTCCCCCTTTAAATATGATGTTAATTGTGGATATTTTGGAGATTGTATCTGATTGAGGAAGTTCTTTTTCCTTTTTGTTCTTCATGTTTTAAGTGTCTTTTATGAATGGCTGTTGGATTTTGTCCAGTGTTTTTTCTGCATTTATAAAGGGGATCATATAGTTTCATGGATTTCAATTGTTTTATTTTTGAGAATTTTTCCATCTATGTTTATGAGAGATTGGTCTGTAGGGTTTTTCCCCTTGTTGTGTGTTCATTAGTTTTAATATCATAAAATGTGTAGGAAAGGGCTTTCTCCTGTTTTCTGAAAGTGTTTCTTTAAGGTTGGCATTATTTCTTTCTTAAATTTTTGATAGGGCTGGGCATGGTGGTTCTTGCCTGTAATCCTAGCACTTTAGGAGGCCAAGGCTGGAGAATTGCTTGAGCACAGGAGGTCAAGACCAAACTAGGGAACAAAGCAAGACGCCATCTCTACAAAAAAAAAAATTTTTTTTTTAATTAGCCAGGGGTAGTGGCATTCACCTGTGGTCCCAGCTACTTTAGAGGCTAAGGTGGGAGGGTCACTTGAGCCCAGGAGGTTGAGGTTGCATTGAGCCACGTTTGTGCCGCTGCACTCCAGCCTGGGCAACAGTGAGACCTTGTATTCAGAAAAAAGAGATTTTACCAGAGAAACCATCTCTTGTAGGAAAGCGTTTTTTAAATTGAG